ATTGGACCAATCAACACCCATGGACAGGTGTGCCTCTGCCCAGCCCAGGTGTGCGGCCCACACACCCCGACAGGTGAGCTCACCACAGAATGCCTCAACTCAGAAAAGACAGCCCCATCCATTGGTGGGTTGATTTTAGCAGAGCTGTTTGGTCCTTTAGAGAGTCATTTAATTTATTCAATGTGACCCTCTGCAAAAGGAAACCCTTCCTATCCATGGATCCAAGTATTTCTTCAAAACTGTCAGTTGCAAAAATTTAGAGGATTACTGTTAGCGTCTTCCCCGCAGCCAATTCAAGGCATGAACTAATTCTCCACTGGCCAAATCTGCCCCCACGAAAAAGAAAGGAAACAGATTCAAAAAAGAAAGGAAACAGATTCAAACTACACTGAAGGTTGTTTTTCCCACTTGGTATGATGATATATACATATTGTCCAAAGGAAAATGTGTTTCAGAAAGAAGACCCTCTGGCTTGTATACTAAAATGTCCTAATAAATAGACAGACAGACAGACAGATCTATATGCCTAATTGACACTTGAGTTTCATATACTGAAATGAACTCTCCTTGTGTTGGGCAAAAAGATTTTTTTTTTTTTCTATCTGGATAAGTTGCCTTCAGTGTAAGAGTCTTGTCATTAGAAAACAATAAATTCAGACAACAAGTTGGATGAGTGCATATTTATGTCCCCAACCATCCAAGAAGGGTTTCCAATGGAGAGGACCAATTAAAAGAGAAGGATGTGAAACTGAGGTCCTCTGCATGTTTGTTTTCCTGAGAACCTTTCTCCTCGGGGTCCAGGGATAAAAGCACAAGATTGTAAGGAGTTCTTAAAGGCACGGCTGTGTGCCAGTCCACAAGGCCCTCCCGTCATTGTGCACGGGTCATCAATGAGTTTTCTGCAGATTACTACAAAGAAAAAAGAAAAAAAAAAATGAGTAAAACCTAAACTGAGAAATAAAGAGGAAAAAAAAAAAAAACCCACATGCTGATCATCCTCTGCCCACATCTCAGATCAAAAACTAGGAGCTTGCAAACACACTCAAGTCGATTTGCTTTCACTTTTCTAAAAACACCAAGAAATCTGCCGCCTCTCCCTGAGGTAGCAATCCCAGAGTTACCACAAATCTCTGCCCTGCTGACAGGTCTGGGGAGGAAGGAGCAGGTGTCCTGGCTTCAGGGCCAACGGGGCATATGCAACAATATTCTATGAAAAATACAAAGGAGAGCCACGATTTCTCCACCCAAGAATCGTCTATCCAAGCACCTTCCAGATAGCATCTGAGCCCAGCCATTATGACCAAAATGCAATTACCTTTCAACCCATACTCAAAAAAAATCATTTCTAGCTTCCAAAAAAAAAAAAAAAAAAATCCAAGCTCTGATTTTAATCCAGTGATTTAAAACTGATGAAGTAATTTTCCACTTGCTACAATTGGCCCTGATTATATTCTTGCATGTTGGAGACGAGACTGTTACTTACACACACACACACACACACACACACACAGCCTGCATTTCTTTTGAGTGACAGAACACTGAGTAGATGCGTATTTGCAGAAGCCCCTGGGAAATTCTTAGGTCCTGAATTGCAGGAGCAAGAAAAAAAAAATCTTCTATTTTCTTTTTTTTTTAAATAAAGCATTCATGCAACCCTGTACGTGAGCACCCCCACAGCCCCACACGCCACCCCCGGTTCTATTCCATGCACCCGGGAAAAATCTACGCTCGGGATTTAGAGGATTACTGTTAGCGTCTTCCCCGCAGCCAATTCAAGGCATGAACTAATTCTCCACTGGCCAAATCTGCCCCCACGAAAATGCAGATCTGTTCGCCATCTGATGGTCGCAGCTGGCTGTGCCAATCTCCAGGAAAACGCGATCCCGTCTCGATTCAGACCATGCGGCTCGCTCCCTCTCTCTGCAAGGCCCAGGAGCTGGGCGGTGTGCGTGCGCGCAGTGTGGCCCAGGGGGGTCTGCACGACCCTCTCCCTTTCCCCCCGCAGGACGCCCACCCAAATGGCTCCTTGTGCTTCCTGAAGGTAACGAGGTCTCTCTAAACTTTTTTCTTTTCCTTTTTTTGTCTCTTGTCTCTTTGCAGTTCCCCCCGCCCCCCCCCCCAAAAAAAAGAAAGAAAAATCACAGTAATGGCTGATCGTGCGCGCCCTGCCCCGCGGTTGGACAACCCGGGGGCACCTCCTTCCCGGCCTCGGAACACGGTGAGCAGGGGGACCCTGTCCAAAGCCCAGGATGGACACCCTGACGACCCTTTCCGCACAACTGACCGAATGCACAAAAATAAGAAGAAGACTGTCACATCAAATCGTCCAAAGCAGAGTCCACACCACCACCTTGTGGAGTCTGGCGGCAAGAGCAGCACCTGCCAAGTTCTCGAGCCCCCTCCCCAGGCAGCCCTCGCCCCCCCCCCCACCCAGGTCTTAAGTTGGGTTCAGATGACAGATGGGGATCCTCTGTCCCCGCGCACCCCGGGCTCCGCGAGCGCTGGGTATCAGTCTCCCCTTGCGCGCCCGCCCGGCGCCGGCGCAGGCTGCAGAGCAGGGCGCACGGCGGGGGCCCGACCTGCCTCCGCCGCCGCCGGACCCCGAACGCGCAGCCTCCCCGGCCCCCTCCCCGGCCTTCCCGAGGACAGCAGCGCCGCGGCGGGTCCCAAAATAAATGAAAAAAGAGTCGCACACCCGCGGGGCCAGGCGTAGGAAGAGGCCGGAGGAAAAGACCGGCCTCCAAAAAAACAAAAAAAAATAGCGTTTGGGGAAGGGAAAGAGGGGAGTCAAGGACGTCCTCGGGCGCCCCTCGCCCTGCAAACGAGGCATCCGTCCCCAGGGTGGTCCCGGCCAGGCCTCGGGGCGGGGGGTTCGCAGGGAAGAAAGGGCGCAGTGTCTGGCGCCGGGATCGCGCGCCCGGGCCCAGGGCTGCGCGGGGCACTGGGCCCACGGGGCCGGGGAGGGGGCGTGCGCAAAGCCGGGGGTGGGGGGCCCGGGGACCCGAGCCTACCGGATCTCGCGGAGGCCACCGAGCTGGGACCGGCTGCGGGCGGGGAGGGAGCCGAGCCGGGCTGCGCTTCGGCGGCTGGAGTGGCCCCGGGAGCGGGGGGGGAGGCGACCGGTGTCCAACTGGAGAGGGGCGCAGCCTCCGGGTGGGGGGCGCCGCGCCGGCGGGGACCTGGGCCTCCCTTCCCACGGCGGGGCCCCCACCCCCGCATCATCTGCAGCCGAGCGACACCTCCCTCCCCCGCCTCCCGCCCCAGCCCCCGCCCGCGCTTCCGCAGGTCGGGCCCCGCGAGTGCGGGCGCAGGCTCAGCGCGCCGCGGCCTCGGCCTGGCGGGGGAAGCCTGCGGGACCCGCCTCTCCGGGTGGTCCCTCCTCGGCCCGCGCCCACCCCCGCCGCCGTGTCCACCAGGATCTTCGCCACCAGCAGCGGGGGCCCAGCTGCGCGGGAATTGGGGCTGGGGGGAGGCCTGGGGGGGGGGGGGGAGGCCGGGAGGCCAGGTGGGGGCGACATGAAGCACGGGACAGCGCGTTGCGACGGAGGGGGGGGGGGGTTGTTGGTTGTGTTGTCCGAGGCCAAGGAGGGGGTCCGCCTATGGAGACCCCCTCCCCGTCTCCGCCTTGGGGACTGGCGGATCGTGCGCCCTGCCAAGTGGTGGCGGAGCTGCTGGGTGCACACGGACGGTGGCCCCAGCTCCCTGGAGACCCCGGCGCCGACACCCTCCGCTTCCAACTTTTCTCCTCTTTCAGAGCATCTCCGCGAGGCTGCTGAGCGCGGTAGCTGCATTACCCCCACCCCCCCCCCCAAAAAAAAAAAAAAAAGAAAAAAGAAAAGAAAAGAAGAAAAAAGGGGAGGGGGATCCAGGCCAGATTCCAGGGCTCGCAAAGAAGCCACCTGCCCCCAATCCCCTCGACACCCTCCCATGACTTGCTTCTCCCCGCCACCCCCGGCGCGCGCGCACCCACACCCACTGCAAGGTTTGCCCCCCGGTTTTGCAAAAAAAAAAAAAACAAAACAAAACACAGCGCTGAGCCACCCTGGGCTCTCCAGCCGGGGTCTCCAGCGCGCCCCGGGATGGCTGCCCAGCCAGGTCCGGATCAATCACGTGCGTTACTCCGTGCACCACACCAGCCGGCATCTTAACCGAGGCCAGCAGAGGAGAGGAGAGAGGGAGGGGGGAGAGATGGCTTCATGCAAACCCAGCCAAGCCTGATTTTCCTGCTTCTGTCTAGTTAACCCCCCCCCATCCCCGAACCCCGCGCCAAAAGCACCCCAGGCGGTGGTAGCTGATAGTTTTCTTCAAGAAAGAGAAAGGCCCGATCCGTGGTGGCTCACAGTTTGCAAGAGAAGCCTCAGCCTTCTCCTCCAGTCCTGGCTTGCAGAGAACTGGCGCTGGGCTCTGGTCCTCGCTTCTGTACTGCAGACACACACACACACACACACACACACACGCACACGCGTGTGTTTATTTGTATGTCAGGCTTTTGCTACTTTGTAAACACATCACACAACACCCCCCCCCCCGCAACCAGAGCCCTTCCAAGAGCTGATGGCAGCAAAATGCATCCCAACAATCGTGGTCCAAAAAAAAAAAAAAAAAAAAAATACACATTTTCTTTTTTTTTTTCTGTCCAGTCCCCCATAAATGCCAATATTTCTATGGAGACGCTGCCTGCCTGCAGCCTTCCCATGAGAAGCTGTTCATACATGTCCACACACACCCACCCACACCTAAGGAATGGAGCGACAGAGGGGGACACACTCCTGTCCCAATTCTCCTCCCAATCCAGGAAAGGGAAGGGAACAAATAAAAATGCCCAGTTAAAGGACGCGGAGATGTCCGCAGAGAGCCTCCCCACACCACCACCACCACCACCACCACCACCTTCCTGTGGCAGGAGAAGAGACGCCAGTTGAAATGTTCCAATGCCAATCCCGACACAGAGAGAGAAAGGCTCATGACCACCGAGAGAGACATCTTAGAAGGGCGCCTACCTGGGGCTCAGGGAGCCGCATTGGCTGATAAGGGTTCTCCTTGCACATCCAGATTTTTCCAGGGAGCAAGGCGTCTGATTCAGGAGGCGGTAGGCAGCCAGGGCAGCTGCTCCACCTGCTCATCCAAAGGAATGCGAGGGCCACGGGCAGCACCCTGGGAGGAGATTCAGTCGCTTGGGTGGTCCATCGTCCTCCTCCGTGGCCAGGGAGAAGAAAGCATCCGAGTCCAGGCAGCAGGCGGGCGGAGAGCCGGGGCTGAATCCAGACTCTGTGCTGAGAGCCAGAGATGGGCAAGAGAAGCGGCTCTGCGAGAGAAAGAGAGACTGAGCTGAGAGGTCCCGCTGTCTGCAGCCCTCTCCTCCAGCCATTGGACCAGGCTGAATGAAATTTACAAACGCCCCAGCCAATAGATGCGCGCAGTTGCCTCCATCACTAGAGAGACACAGCCACCCTGCTACAACCTCACGCAAAGAGCAGCTTAATCCCAGTGCAAACCAGCTGTGACAGAGAGAGCCCCAGCCCCGGGGTGGCAGACAGGTGGGCACAGACCAGGCACACAGCAAGCCACCCAGCAAAGCGTCCAGCCAGCCCGGGGGGGCTACTGGGCAACCTCCAAATACCCTCTGCACTGGGCATCTTGAACTGTTTGAGGTCAGGGTCTCCGGCTGTCCTGGTGGTCACAGGGTCACTCACGGGTGCTTAACCACTGGGCCACATCCTCAGCCCCCTTTTTAAAATCTATTCATTCATTTATTTATTTTTTTAATTTTTGAGACAGGGTCTCACTAAGTTGCAAAGGGTCTTGCTAAATTGCGGAGGCTGGCCTCCAACTTGAGATCCTCCTGCCTCGGCCTCCCAAGCCTCGGGGAAGACAGGCAAGTCTGGCGTGCTGGTTAGTTTGAAACATGGCCCAGTTCACTTTCAAGGTCTAAAGAGTTCATCCTTTTCAGCCGATCTCCAGTTGGGAGAGAGAATAATGAATTTCAAGTCGGGACACGGGAAATTGACGATCAATGGACACTATGTGAAGTGGGTTTAGGAGCTGTTGAAGCAGACGTTATCCGATTTGGGGTAATGAACGTAGGTGCTTCAGCTGGATTGCTGGGGTCCAAGTTGCCGATAACCTTCAAGGTGTATTTAAACGATTTCCGGCTCTCTTCCTTCCTGCATCTGCAAGTAATGAAGGGGGTGACGTGAATCTCGCAGCCAGGTGGTGATAATTAGCTGAGTGTATACTTAACAGGATGTGGCAAGTCTTAATAAAGGTCAGATAGTCTTATTTTTTTTTTTTTTTTGACACTGCAGTAATTCATTTATAGAAGGAAAATATACAACTGCCTCTTCCCGGTTGCCTCTGCTGAGAACAGAGAATTGAAGCATCCAGTCTGCAGAAATGAATTGATATAATGGTATCATGTGGGGTGGGGGGGGGGGTCCCTGCAAATTCTTGCAAGAGGGACTCCTGGGTCGCAGGGCCCACCATATTGTAAGGTTCGTGTCCAGGGCTCTATCCTTGCTGGGTCAGTCTCCTTGGAAAGCTGGTCACCTTCTGTGGATCTTAGGGGAAAGATCTTTACAGAGATCCCATGTGGCTCCCCTGTGGTTTGGACCTGAAATGTCCTCAGGAGGCCCCTATGTTAACTGGTTGGTTTCCACCTCGGAGCTCTTTGGAGGTGGGGCCTGGTGGGAGGAGCTTAGGTCTTTGGGGGTGTGGCCTTTGGAGAGGACTGTAGGATCCTCTTTTTCTCTTCTGCTTCCTGGCCACAAGGGAGGTCTCCGTGGTTAGCAGCCCTGGTGGTTCTGCCCCATGACACACTTCCAGCCACGATGAGCTCCTTCCCCACAGCCTCAAAAGCAAGGGGGGCCAAGGGACTGAAACCTCAGCAATTGTGATTCATGGTCGACCTTTCTTCTTTATCAGTTGATGGTCTCAGGTAACTCATTACAGTGTCGGAAAGCTGGCTCATACAATATAAAAACCTTCTTCACCAAAAACAAGAATATAAATGTAGATACCTATCCAATAATGGAAAAACAAATAATGCACATAAATATTTATAAATATATGCCTATTACAAATGTATATGCATATATGAATACGTACAAATATCGCATATTGCTTTTCTGTATAACACAAACATATGCATATTTGACTATGTACATCTATTGCATATTGCTTTTTCTATTATTAGATATTTAAACTCATCTCTCTTCTCATATTGGATAGATAGTCAAGGTACACTGACGTGGTAATGTTACATCAATAAATAAATCCATTATAAATGTATTATTACGTAAGAAGTGCGGCTTTTCCTGCAAAGCAATGACATACACAGATAACGAATACAGACCCACAGATGTAGACACTGATGTCTAAATCCTGCAGTTGAGCAGCATAACCTCAACTCAAGCAGGACAATTTATATATAATAGGCAAGAAAGTCAGTGACTTTGCAAGAATGTATTAATTCACTGACTGACTTAGAAATTCCTTCAGTACTTTGTAAACTCTTGCACAGTCTTGAGAACTGAAAATATATCTGTGACCTAAACTTTTTTTTTATCCCCAATTGTTTTTGCATTCTGGTACCAAGGATTGCAGCCAGGGGTGTTTCACCATTGAGTCACATGCCCGGGAACCCCTTTTTATTTTTATTTTATTTTTTTTTATTTTGAGACAGGGTCTTGCTAAGTTGTGAAGGCTGGCCTCCAACTTGGGATCCTCCTGCCCCAGCCTCCTGAATGGAAACCGGGCCTCCAGAGCTGACCAATAGCATTCGTGCACAGCCACAGCAGATTAGCCTAAATCTGGACCCAGAGCAGAGACCCCGGGGCTGAATCAACCCCTAGCCTGGCGTGCTCAGGTGGGGGAAACCCGCTATGGGGTCCTCTCTTGAAACTCAAGAGCTCTGTTCCGGTGTCTTTCTTGGATAAATCCTCCTCTTGCAGGAACACCACCTGGTCAGTGGTGTTCCTTCTGCAAATTCACAAGAATCCAGTAAGAAGAAATGGACGCTGAGCCCCTCCCCCCCCAACACTTCCCGGCTGCAGAGACCCCACCTCCCAGCAGAATCAGAGCCCAGTTCCATCTCAAAACCTCAGTTTAGCTTGGGATGGGGGCGTGTGCCTCTCATTCCAGTGGCTAGAGCCTCAGGCAGGAGGATCTCAAGTTCAAGGCCAGCCTCAGCATCTCAGTGAGACCCTGTCTCTAAGTAAAATAGAAAGGGCTGGAGATGTGGCTCTGAGGTTAAGCACGACAGGGTTCAATCCCTGGTATCAAAAAGAAAAGGGGAAAGACTTAAGATTTGCAGAACAAAATGGCGGCAGGGCCTGGAGGAGGAGAGCAGCTCAGGACAGGGCACCAGGGAGCAGAGAGAGCTCTGCTCACCAGGGACAGGACAGAGACCCCAAAGGCACAGCCCAGGGACCCCCTCCTCCAGCCACACCCCACCTGCTGCAGTCACCACCAATTAATCCATTCAAGTGGATTAATCCACTTATTAGGTGGAGGCTCTCATAACCAGGTCTTTTCACCTCTGAACTTTCTTGCATTGTCTCCCACAGGAGGTTTGGGGGTCCATCTCACATCTAAACCGTAATCCCGGTTTTAAGAAAGCATACAGCAGGTGGATAATGAACCCGGCACCGTGAAAAGGTATCAGGATCTCAAGATGTTCAGGAGGTCATGGGTGATATATGGGTTCACTGTGCCCTTAAAGGTAGAAATGATTAAGGAGAATTTTCAGAGGAAGATTGCGTTTAGAAGGAAAGGGACGGAAGATAGATATTGTTCAACCTAAGATCTAGATGGGTGTTTGGAAACCGGGGGAGTTGAGCCTGGGAGAAGGGGTGAGTATTTTTACAAAGGTCGGATTATGTGGAGTATCGAAGGCTTGCTGGAGAGGTAGAATTTTTCCAGTTAGCCGTTGAGGAGCTAATAGCATATTTTATGTAGGTGGGAAAAGGAGGAAAAAATCAGATTTATATTTTAGGACGTTTGCTTTGGTGATGATATGGAGAGTGAGCTGGAGGGAGGGAGGGAATGAGAACAGAGAAAATAAATATTCCTGAGACATTGAAGGATGGATGCCCTAGAGAAATGAATTCCTGAAGGAGAGAGCGAGTGAGAGAGAGCGAGAGCGAGAGCGAGAGAGAGAGAGAGAGAAGAAGAGGAGGAGGGGGGAGAAAAAGAAAAAGAAGGAAGAACAGGAGGTGGTGGAAGAGGTGAAGGAGGAGGAAGAGATGGAGTAGGAAAGGTGAGGGAGGTGTTGGTGGAAGAGGTGAAGGAGGTGGTGGAGTAGAAAGAGGTGGAGAGGATAGTAGAGGAGAAGGAGGAGGTGCTGGAGGAGGAGGTGGAGAAGGTGGAAGAGAAGAGGGTGTTCATGGAGGAGATGGTGGAGGAGATGGCGGAGGAGGAGAAGGAGATGAAGGAGGTGGTGGTGTTAGTGCAGGAGGTGGAGGAGGTGGTGGATGTGGAGGAGGTGGAGGAGGAGATGCTGGAGGTGAAGGAGGTGTTGGTGGAAGAGGTGGAGAAGGTGGAGGAGGTGGTGGAGGTGGAGGAGGTAGAGGTTGAGGAGGAGAAGGTGGTGAATGTGGAGGTGGAGATGGTGGAGGTGGAGGAGGAGAAGGTTTTGGTGGAGAAGATGGAGGAGATGGAGGACATGGAGAAGGTAGAGGAGGTGGTGAAGGTGAAAGATGTGGAGGAGGTGGAGGTGAAAGGTGGTGGAGGTGGAGGAGGAGAGGATGGAAATGGAGGAGGAGTTGGTGGAATAGGTTGAGGAGGTGGTGAATGTGGAGGAGGAGATGGTGATGGTGGAGGAGGTGGAGGAGATGGAGGAGGTGGAGGAGGTGGTGGAGGTGAAAGATGTGGAGGTGGAGGAGAGGGTGGAGGTGGAGGAGGAGTTGGTGGAGGTGGAGAAGGAGATGGTGGGGGTGGAGGAGGAGGTGGTGGAGGAGATGGAGAAGGAGATAGTGGAGGAGCTTTAGGAGGTAATGGAAGAGATGCAGGTGGAGGAGGAGATGGTGGAGGTGGAGGAGGAGAAGGTGTTGGTGGAGGAGGTGGAGGAGGTGGAGAAGGTAGAGGAGGTGGTGAATGTGGAGGAGGAGATGGTGTTGGTGGAGGAGGTGGAGGAGGTGGAGGAGGTGGTGGAGGTGAAAGAGGTGGAGGAGGTGGAGGAGGAGTTGGTGGATGAGGTGGTGGAGGTAAAGGAGGAGATGGTGGAGGAGGAGATGGTGGAGGAGATGGAGAAGGAGATAGTGGGGGAGCTTTAGGAGGTAATGGAAGAGATGCAGGTGGAGGAGGAGATGGTGGAGGTGGAGGAGGAGAAGGTGTTGGTGGAGGAGGT